TATATACCATTTCTAATTATGATACAGAGGGGACATACTCTGTCCAGTGGGACTGAAGAACAGAAAAAACATGGGAGTTTTTTCACCACGTAATTTTACAGGATGGCCTTAAAAGTTTCTTATCAGACAGTGTAAATATTACTTTTTCTAAACTCCTAAATTCATTATGTTTTCATAATGTCCTCCAACTAGACACTAAATCCAATAATTTTCTCATTCATTCTAGTAAATCAATACATTTTGTAACAGTCCTCTAAATAAGGACTAGTTGTTCTTGTTGCAGCATCCTGTTTTAAAAAACTTTTTGATATCAGCAAAGTTTTTAACAACGGGTCACTTAAATTGAAAGGCAGAAATAAAATGGAGGAAAAAATGTGAGGTGGGGGAAAGGGACAAAAGGAAGAGAAAGAAAACTCTAACAAATACAGCACAATTTTGCTTGGATTTTTTTTTTTTTAACCAAAGAAAGAAGCCTTTCATACTTAGAAAGTTGTCAGAATATTGAGTGCTTCTCTAGTTTACTCTACTTTTCATGTATTGTTACAGATAATTTTTAGTTCAGAACATCTGTGAATGCTTTCCTTGACTTTCCTTTCTGAATCACTGAAAATTGTTCTGGGGATTTCTGCTTCCCTAAAGCCAGTAGCACAAAATGTGCAAGAATTGATATATCCCTTCATTCTGTGTTAGAAGTCACTGTAGTGAAAGATTAAGATGTGTCTCCAAAGTATTAAAGTATATTTTTTTATATGAGCAGTAGCTGTTAAGTCCTAGCACATAAGAATCTGCTAGCAGAATGATGACTTGGCAAAGGTTTAGGAAAAGAAGACTGTTGACACAGCAGATTAATGCATTTGTTTGCTTACCCCCAGTCTCCCCTCAAATAATACGATATCTATTTAAGGTTTAATGAAGTTGGATTATACTTTTACACTCCCAGGGTTATTTGCCTCTGTAATATTTGTATTCTAATAACAGGGTGGATAAGTTACTGAATGTGAGGAGGTGAAGAGAGAACTTTCTCTTAACTATTGCCCATCTGTTTCAAAAAATGAGATTTTTGCTTTGAGTAACAAAGACAGCAGAGCATTCATTTGTATTCAATCCAATCCATATGCCTACATTTCCACTGATTCAGCTTTGTGCATTTTAAAAATCAAATTTTGCAGAATGTTATAATTAATTATAGCTAAAAAAGTCATGTGATATACATCTCCCACAGCACGGATTAGATCCATCCTGCTTTACACCACTAGGTGCAAATTGCTTACTGACAGTACTTACATCAGACTTGAATGCACTTTCCTTTTGGCAGCAGAAAGTACAGTGGTTTCTATTATCACAGTATTGAATAAAAATTTAATTTAGCCCAACCAATTTGCACATTATACTGGCATACAATAAACACAGGATAATTTAGGTTGGGAGGGAGATCAGAAGGTCTCAATTCCAATCTTCTGCTCGAAAGACAGATAGCTATTACATAAACCGGGTTGCTGTGTGGTCTTGAAAACCTCCAGGAATGGAGGATGCACAACCTCTCTGGGAAATCCAATCTGTTGCTTTACTGTCCTAGAAGTGAAAAAGATTTTCCCTTATATCCAGTCTGAAATTCTCTGCCTCTTGTCTCTTGTCTTCCCACCATGAACCAGTGTGAAGAGCATGTCACCGTTTTCCATGTAAACTCCCTCTAGGGAGTTACTAGCACCCTGCTCCCCTCAAAGCCCTTCCTCCCCCTCAGCTTCTCCTCCTAGGGCATGGTGCTCCAGCCTCCAATAGAAGGAGACCCTCCACTGAATTTGCTCCATGTTATCAATGTCCTTCTTGTATTGGGGGAGGCCAAAACTGGGGAACAACCTCCTCCCTTGATCTACGGGCTATGTTCCTGTTAATACAGCCCAAGATGCTATTGGCTGTCTCTGCAGCGACAGCATGCTCTCGGCATATGTTCAGCTTGCTGTCTACCAAAGTCTCCAGGTCCTGTCACAGAGCTGTTTCCTAGACAGTCAGTCCCCAGCCGCAGTCATTGCATAGAGCTGGTCTTTCCCAGATTTGGGACTTCATATTTGTACCTACTGAATTTCGTGAGGTTCTTGCTAGCTCGTCCCTTCAGCATGTCTAAGTCCTTTGGATGGCACCACTGTCCTCCAATGTAACTCCTGGTTCCCTAGTCTGGTGTCACCTGCACACTGTGATCTTTCACCTCCTCCAGGTCATTGGTTTAAGAATGTCTAACAGGACAGGATTTGGCTCCTCATCGCTTCTATATATCCCATACATGCTTGACCACCCTTTCAGTGAAGAAATTTTTCCTAGTATCCAATTTAAACCTCCTCTGGCTGGAGGCCATTTCTTCTTGTCCTACCATTTTTACTTGGAAGAAGAGACTGATCACCACCTGGCAACCTCCTGTCAGGCAGTTGCCTTCTTATCTCCAGGCTAAACAACCCCAGCTCCCTCAACCACTCCTCACAGGACTTGTGCTCCAGGCCCTTCACCAGCTTCATTGCCTTACTCTCCACAGGCTTCAGCACCTCAATGTCATTCTTGTAGTGAGAGGCCCAAAATTGAATACAGATTTCAAGGTGCAGTCTCACCAATGCTGAGTACAGGGTTAAAATCACACCCTGTTCCTGCTGGCCACATTATTTCTGATACAGGTCAGGATGCCATTGGCCTTCTCGGCCACATTGTTCAGCTAGCTGTTGACCAGCACCCCCAAGTCCTTTTCTACTTAGCAGCTTTTGTTCCTTTGGCTTTTTTTGAAGACAAAGCACTGTGGTAAAAAAATAACTCAAAATTTAATTTACTGCCACTTTTAATGGTGCAAATAAATTAAATCAGGAAAGACACAATAATAACAATGTTTCTCAGACTGGTAGTAACTGTCATCCCCCTCTTTCACCTCTCCCAAGTACACACATGCTTTATGGTCTTAGGATCTTGGGTTAGATAACATTGTATATGAGAGTAAAGCTGGGCACTGGAGAAATTCAAAACTCTTAAACTTGGTCTGTTTCCAAAGTTATTGTTTATATTCCAAATTATGGCAGCTGCCTTTTAGTTTCTGTTGTTTACAGAAGCAGTGGTATTTTTCTCAATAATCTTTTACTATATGCAGTTTATGATGAAAACTCCATGCTAACTGCTCCACAGCTTCTACACAAGGGCTCTGGAGAACTAAGATGCTTCACAATTAACAATATAATGAAACTAAAAATTATGATCTGCATCCCAAAGAAGGCAAAATACTGCCTTCATCCTCAAATCATAATATTTTAAATAAATTACACTAGGCAATTTGGTGTATTTGGGGATTTTTAAACTACCCTTATGTACTGTAAATGCGTTGTTTGAGTATAAACATGTGTGGTAATTTCAAAATCTAGCAAAAAGTAATTCTTCTGAAAAGTGAATATTAATACTTCTTAGAAAATAAGGCTTAGTACTTACACTCAATTGGGAGGCAGTGTGGTAGAAGCAATGTTAAAAAAATCCACTGTGAAATAGATGTGAAATAGAATTGATTATGTCAAGAAAATTTCTAGAATAGAATGAGGGTTTTATCATATGATTCCTCATAAAACATACACTGTCCAACTACAGGAAAGCATATGCTAAAGTCAGACTAAAGATCCAGCTAAGGCAAGTATCCTGCTTCCATGAGTGACCGAAACCAGAGGTACAGAGAAGAATGAAATTGAAAGGCAAGCATACATCATAAGGAGTATAAGAGCAGCATCATTTTTAGCAGCATAAAAAGTACATAGATGCATAAAAAGAACGGTCTCTCCTGAAACAATTTATTAGTGAACCATGAAGCGTAAAGTTTTAGATCCTCACTTACCGAATCAAACGTGAAAGGTAAAACACTAAGGGAAACTGAAAACCGAAGACAATCAGAATCATGGAAAAAGACATTATTCTTGGTGCTACCTTTTTAATGCAAATATCCCACAATGCAGTGGTAGTCTCTTTCCATGAAACCAATTCAGCACATATTTCTGTAATTCAGTTTCTGTCAGGAGACCTCTACAATACAAACATCATTTAGTATTGGCATGATTTCATTTAAAATGCTATGACTTACTACCCAGCAGGCTGTTTTGACTAGAACTGGACAAATCCAAGCATAGATGCAACCTATAAAAAGCCCTTCTATTTCTGTCTAGCTTTCAAGAAGCACAATGAGATAAACTATGAACATTAACAAACCATTACTTTGATGAGTTATTCCCTAATAATGTGCATAGGACTAAGCATTGAAGAACTACCTTAAGTTTTATGACGTGAGTCTGTAAACTTGTCAGTTCAACCTAGGATTTCAGTCTCAGCTGAGGACATCCTTTTTCTGCAAAAACAGTTCTCCAACACATTCACTACTTTTAAGAAGCTTGAAATTCTGAAGCAAGAAGGCAATAGTTCTAACCAAGGCAACTTTAGGTGAAGGATTCTTTTTCTTTCATTCCTAAGTTTGTTTATAAATGGGAAAATAATAAGGTAGGGTGTAAATTTGCATAATGAATGTCTTAAAAATGAGACAAAAGGAAAGGTAATAAAATACATGTGAGCAGAAAATTCAAAAATAACAATAGCAGTTGCTGTATTTGCTATTTATAAAGTTACTTCTATATCCTAAACCATCTTAACTTGGGCCCTTAACTTTGTACCCTTAACTACATAACAGAATAAAAGACAGAAACTTGGGAAGTGTCATTTGTAGAATTCCCAACTGTTCATTCCAAGAGCATGTAGGCTTCACGCCTTCAAAGGAGAATAGGAAACTGACACCAAATTTTGAGTTCACAATATAACATAAAATACATAGTAAACAGCTTCTTCTATCCAAAAAATGTTTAAGATAAACAGGTTGTTGCTGTCAAAGAGAAAAAAATGATCTTCAAGGTGCTCTACACATATTTCATATGTAATTCACAGAACATTAAAGCTCAAAGACCTCATAAACTTTTGCAATTATTGCAGCAATACAGAGTTCATACCTGTGGCGAGATAGATGATATGGAAAAGCATGTCCTTGCCCTGCACAACATCCACAACCACATGGGAAAATCGACTGTTGTCTTCCATGAAGTAAGGAATTGGAATAACTGGTTGAACAACCTCATGCATTAAGAAGAATTTTTGAGCATCTTGAAGATTTCTCTCAGTCAGATTTGCATACAAACCCTGATCCATGGTGCCACACTGTAAACACAGAAAACTAACATTACTATACGTGGTAACAAAAACAACAGATCTACTCCCTGATTTAAGGCACAAGAAAATAAAAACCAAGGGTAAATCATGTAGTGACACTGTGGAATTCGACTTTCAGGTCCCATTTTGGTGCTAGCCAGACTGTGCAGCAGTTGAGGAAGTTCAGCTTTCCTGAGGCAGTACTATAGAGGCTCCCTAACCCTAAACAATATGGAAGGGCACTAGACAGACCAGCACAAGTGGACTACAGTAATATTATGCTATTCCTATGTTCACAGGGCATGAAGGAGAAAAACTACCATCTGACAAATCAAATAGTTTTCTGACTAGTTTTCTTTATAATTTTCACAGAAGCAGTGCTAAAGACAACAAATTTTCAAAGGAAATTCCATGTCCTACCACAGCCAGGGGCTGAGAGAAATCTGAGGTGAAAGTACCACAAACCGTTCTAGGAGTTTCTTAAGACTCTGTGTTAAATAGCAAAAATGGACAGTGAAGAGCTCTATCAATGTTATCCACGGCAAAGACATTTTTCATTTGAAACTGAACAAATTTTTATCTGAAAACTGTACTCTTTCCTTACAAGAAAGCATTTACTAACTTCATGGACAAGTTTCAATCACAAATAAACTAAGCAAAATAAGTGGTAGTTAATTTTAGCATATTTGTGTTCAGCTGGGGACACAGAAGAGAAAGCTGCTTAATGCATGTGAATATATAAACATCCACATATTTACTCAGGCATAATTGGCATCAGAGAAGTAAAGCAGTACTTCACAACATTTATCAAATATTTGGGTGATGTGAAAGGCATATGCAAGTCATAATTTTCATTCTGTTTTACTATATCATAAATTATGCCATAAATTACAGCATGAGCAAAATACAGGGTTCAAAACCCTACCAGTTTTTTTTCATTATTGCCGTGTCTTCAGTCTGAAATTATGTCATTGTTCCAAATCCACAAATGTTAAAAAAAAGTCAAGAAATTTCATGAGAAATCAGATGATGAGGGAAGAAAAATAAACAACTGGCAGGAAACAATTACTTGCTCTGTATGTCAGATCAATGAAAAAAATAAACCATGCCAGAGAAGAATTTCTGTGACTCCATCAAGCAGGAAAGATTCCAGCTGAACACTCATAGTACACTGAAATTCAAATGGTCCTTGGTCTTATGATAGACATTGCCCTGTCTAAGAGAAAAGCAGTGATCTCTGAAGAAAAACAACATTCCTCAAAACTGAGACTTCCATAGTATTCTAATCTGGAAATATTTCATAAATATAATCCAGCCTTGGAAATACAATATCTGATGGAACTGTAACAACAGGGCAATAGTCTTCCTTCACATCACATACTTCTCTCTGTTATTACTGAGTAGGTGAATACTCTGAGGACAAATCTACTTCTGGGACTACACAAACAGAACTTCTGATACTTTATCATAAGGACTCTATAAAAGAAAAGTCCTTCTTTCTAGGAAGGAAACCAGTGACTAAGTCAATGAATATATCCCATCTATGTGAAGTGTATTCTAAAGCACCACCAACACCACTGCTGCAGTTACAGAGACAGAAATCTAATCTTCCTAAGCAACTTCTATTTTTTAGGTTTTTTTAAGGTCTTAGGCTAGTGCAAGACAGGGTCTTATTAACCATGAACCATAAAGCCTTTTGAGAAAACCTCATGTAAACGATTGTCCCTCTCCCATGTATTCATACCTGAAAATTAGGGTTAGGATTGGGATACGGAAGCCAAGCAGATCGGGAGTTTTCCTGGTATTTGAAGGGTCCATTAAAGGCCTGAGTTATGGCACTCAGATTGAAAACACAAACTGCTGAGGCTGCTATGCTGTTCCTGTAAAAGAAATATAAATATTAACCTAAATAATAACATTAAGTCAACTTGCTGAAAAATAAAGAAAAAAGACTAACTCTTCAATCCTTCAAGTAACTAACTAAGCAGATAAGATCAGCCAGGAGATGATATCTCAAGATAATGATAGATGATAAGCTGATTTAGCACAGACATTGCATTTAAAATATTTGTTGGCCTTACCAAGTAGCTGATGTGGGAGAAACTTAGAACTTCCTACCTTCTGCTGCTGCTCTGATACCACAAGGCTATACTTCCACACAATCATATGCACTAGGGACACCTCTTTTGTAGTTACAAAGTTCAGGATGATATTACTCTTAGGGCTTATTAATGTTTCTTCCATACAACATAGATGAAACAAGGTAAGGATTTATTCAATTTATGGTATGCCTCTGGACCTTATGGAATCCCAGATATCTCCACAAAAATCCTGTCTTCCAAGAGATGATGTACAGTAGTAAGTATACTAGTTCAGAAACCCATCAAGAGAAAACAACTTGGACTGCATACAAGATATCTTGTTAAACAAATAAACACAAATAAATGGCAGTCAGACAAAACATAAAAATTCCTGCATTTGCCTTGAAAATGTGATATACCTAGCAATAAAGTAATTCTGCATAGTGTAAAGAATATAATCTAATTATTATGAAAGCTTGTAATATGAGAACCAGTATTGTTCTTTTCCACATTTTGAAATAAATGAATAGATAATGAAGGTATTAGTTGCACAGATTTCCATTGCAGGTAAAACTGCTGACAATTGAGCCACACATTATTATTTTCTTTTTTTTTTAATATATTTTTCTTTTTATTTAAACTTAGCCTGCACTTTACACAAGGCTTAAGAAAGCATACTATAGAAACTCCAAAATTATGGGAAAAAAACCCCAAGCAAACAACAACACCTGGAGGCACAAATCTATCAGCAACTGAAAAAAGTTAGGATATATGGATTAAATACCAGGACAAAAGAGCAATTTGCTTTCCTATGCTTGTCATCCTTATTTCATAAAAACACCAACACTTGGTGTTCAATATCTGCAGAATCAATTATCATTGGATTTGATAATCCCTTGCCTATATAAATTATCACTAAATGCAGCTCAGTAATAATATTCTATAGTAACCATACCAATGTCTTCTTGAATTTCTTGAAGTCCTTAAGGGACATTAGACTCGCGCTTACAGATTTTTCAGATAGTCTAAAAGAAACAAAATCAGCTTCATTATGAAGCAGTGGCTAGAGTGGAGTTAATCATCAACCATATATAAAAGGTGCAGGTTTGGCTGTTATTCAGTCTTTATTGACAGAAATGTTTCATTTTTTCCCTCCATAAGTATATTCAAGTATATTAAAAAAAGAATTAGAGTACAATAAAGTCATTGCAATTCTAAAGGTATTGAGACTGGAGAATGCTGAATGTGGTTAAGCAATATCTGATGCTGTTACACCAAGAGAAAGGAATATGTTGTTCCATCTCATGGGAAACCTTGGCATTTCTACACCATCAGTTGCAGTGCTGAAAGGTGAATCAGGTGGGTTCCACAGATTATCCATGAACAGGGAGTCAGCATGGGGAAGTAATCCTAACTCTACAACATTTCAACAATGTCCAAAAATTTACTTACAACATTTGATGTCAGGAACAAATATAATTTAAAGGGAGTTATCAAAAAACCCCACCCTCAAACAGTTGTAATTAAATCCTCTTTGAAGAGTCCATTCTGTTGAACAATCAGAATGACAGGCCACCAGGGAAGAAGGAAGTAGCAGCAAGGTTTCAAATACTGTTTACTTTCACGTGACAAAGGTAGTCTTAACATTAGCAAGTCCATTTTCAGAAGAGCCAGGGAGCATCAGGAGCATCGTTCCCCTTCCATAGCCTAAATCCTATGGATTTTCTGCAGTACAATTCCTCTGGTCAAGCTTTTCATGGCAGGAACACGTCAAGGCTATTTTGACTTTCACAAAAGATCATGTTGAAGAGGGTATGTGTATGCCACTTGAGAAATACCTGTCTTTTATTATTTGAACTAGCTAGTAAAACAGATCAATGAAATTAAAATTACTGATCAAAACAACATCAAATTTTCTTATCCCCAGTAATCTCAAAGTCTCTACTATTCTCTTTATAAAAGCGGTGTTTAAATTCACTATATTACTCCATTGTAGGAACAGGTTGAGCTCATCATCTAATGTCCCAAGTTAGGAACTGTCACAGCTGGATGTAAGCAGCCCATCACTAGTCTTGTTCACAGCCTGAGCTGCTGGCCCAGGGGTGAGCCTGAATGTGGAAGATGCCTAAATGTGTTGATAAAGGACTGTGCCAAAAGCCCAAATTCATGCTCACTGTCTAGAATATGTAGGGATAATAATTTGTTGACATTAATTTGTGACTGTTTCCTCCTGATTAATGGATATTTATAAAAGGTAGGTATCCCATTGTTTAAGGGGCCCAACCTGTGTTTTAGGTGTTCAAGGAACTTCTAAAATTCTAGACAAAACTGACTTACACAGCAAGACAATACAAGAAGGTAAGATAATCAGAACCCGAAATTGGAAACTCTGTTCCAGTGGTTTGAATACTGGTCTGCACAGCCATAACACAGAGGCTGTTCTCACTAAGCAACATGTTAGTTGCTTATGTTATCATGTTAGTAACAAAGGAAGTTTATGAGACAAATGACTCTTTTTTTTTAAGAGCTAAGCAGCTTTTGGTATCAAGCTCAGAGTCCAGGGATCTCTATCTTGACCTAATTTTTTAACATTTAACAAATTTTAACACCAAATTGAATTTTTTTTTTCAATTTTACCTTGTTGATACAACAGGTTCAGTTAAAATTAAAATAAATTCTTGTTTGGACCCTTAAACTCACTAAAGTATATGTTAGGACTAATTAAAATACATAAGAGCACCTCTTGTCCTATTTTGGGTAAGATGCATTCTTCCTGACAAGGTCAAAATCCATCATGTCAAATTCATGATCATGTCACATTACAATTATAAGATATTTTTTCTTAAGTACATCATTTCCTTATGTATTGCAATAGTATGCAAAATAAAAATTAATGCCTTTCTAAGAACAAATGAATATGATGACAGAATACTCTTAAACACAACTGGATCCCTGCTTTAAGGAAATATTAAGAATTCCTCCTCTCATTTCTTCAGCAATTCACGTGGGAAACATTTAGAACTGGTGCTTGTGCATAAGAGGACAGTGGATTGGGCAAAACAGAAGTTTGAATTTATGATGTTTACTTGGCATATACAGAAGAGAGCAGCTCAGAAGTTTAAGTTTTTGCTTTCACAAACAGCAAGAAAATAAAATATATAATTCGTTTTACTTACACATTAGTGGTAAAAATTCCATAGATCAAGTCCAATTCTGGCAGGAAGAAAGTGCTCTGAAGTTCATTATAGTAAAATGGAATTTCTCCAGGGCGAGAGCAGTTCAGACGAGCTTTCATGAAGGTAGTCCAGGTATCCTCCAGCACAAACTTGCCACCAATATCATTTTTACACACCCGAGCAGCACGAGAGAATACTGTTTTCCCACAGTCGTGTTCCACCGCATTCTCCCGGAAGAAGAAGTAAGTAAAGTTCCCAATGTCATAAGATGACACAAAATTTGGCTCTGAAAATAGCAGGAGGAAAGATCATTTATCACCTTCTTGTGATATATGCATTTATATGCATATGGAAGTTGGATTTACCTTCAAATATTAGATTTAGAAAAACCCACCTTTGATTATCCTTTAGAGAATTGGCGCAATGACATCTGAACAGGACAATTCATGTCCAATCACGATTATGAGCTACATGATCATGATATGCTGGGTTTATCTGGGTAGAGTTAATTTTTTTTCACAGTAGCCAGCATGGTACTATGTTTTAGATTTTTGCTGGAAACTGTGTTGATAATTCAGGGATGTTTCTGTTATTGTTGAACAGCACTTACACAGAGCCAAGGCCTTTTCTGTTTCTTACACCACCCCAACAGCACAAAACGCCTGCTGAGTTGCCAGCTGGGGTTAAACCATGACACGTGGCCTGACAGACTCTCTGCTCTACGGGTCTGTAGCACATGACTCTGTCGGGCAACCTTGGCCCAGCTTTCTCTATTCCACCATCAAAAGTGTTACTGAATTTCCGTTCTCTACATATGGGCATAGTGTCTTCTTAAAATGTAATTGCTTTATCTGTTAACACTCCTTCTGCTTTACCACCATGCCATTACTCCAGATTAGCAGAATAATGGGTGGTAACTGATTGTGAGTGAAAACGTATTCAGAGGATGCAATGAAAAGAGAACTATACAAAAGCATTTGATGGAAAGATAACTGCATTTCAACCCTGTCTTGCTTAAAGCTTTTGATAGTATTACAGTAATTTTCTCTTTCTTTTAAAGAAAAAATTAAAACTGACCAAAAATCTGATGGTGATGAAGGAGAAAACACAGAATATGTAAAAAAATAACCTGGAAAACAACAGATGGCAATATTTCTTAAAACAAAAAAAAAAAAAGGAAACAGTAGATACCAAAGAAAATATACATAAACATATGATCCATTTCCTAAGGATTACTAGAACTGAAGAAAGTCCATGACCTTAAGATAAGTTGGCAAACTGATGAGTTGTTAAAGACAAATTTTTCAAGAAGGGCCCCCTTTGTGTAAGGAACCATTATAAAACACTGATAGCCCCAAGAAACAAGCAAACTTTATATTCTCATTCCCAAATTGTATTCTGAAGCGGGAAAAAAAATAAGCAAAACTTTTTTTAAAACATCTATTGTGAGGAAACATTCCAAAGAAATTTAATAGGTGAATATTTCTTGACAGCCCTATTGTATAGGAAAAAGCTGCTGCAACTAGATCTAAGCATTTTACAGGCATAGTTCAAACCTGTCAAAACTTTTGAGGGGCACTAGAAAGGGAAGGAAGCTGGCCTTTCCACACAGCAGTCCAAACTCTGTCAGAAAACTCTTCTCCAAAGACGGCCCAGCTCCCAGCTCTTGTGGCCTCTTGTGCTGCTTCCCTCTCTACCTGCTGTGCTGCGAGTCTCCAAGGCAGGTTTCTTGGAAGCAATGATTATCAGCTGCCTAGGATGTTTGAAGCGGAGCAGACACAATAGTGCTCTCGGTCCTCCCTGTAACTTTCATTCATTATTATATCAAGCACTTCTCTGAGATTAGTCTGTAACGTACCACGTTTTCCCCACACTCTGACCTGCACAGGTGTTTTGCTGGAAGATAGCAACCAAACAATTCCGAGAATTTGTTAGTATCCTGAGTTTTCATAAGTTACATAGTGCCAATGCCTTTGTGTCTTTAAAAAGAAAAAAAAAAACGCAAAATAGTTTGACAGGACTTGTGATAGCACTAAAGATAAAACTGGATTGACAATATACAAAGAACTAAACTATTAGTAATGTTATCCCTATTAGAACCTCATATCTTCATTCCACATCTGTGTCAGACTTTCATTACAATAGGGATTTTGATTCAAAGGTTTCAAAAACCTTTAAAGTATATTACTAGAATTTGCAGTTTTGTAGAAATAATTCTTAGTTAATCATGACCTCTCATTCTTTAACCATAAAATGTAATATTGTAACACATTTACAAACTGAACACTCAAATTGGAGAAAGACGGGAAAAAAAGACAATTTTTAACTTTGTTAATTTTTTTTCTCTAAAAACGTGCAATTTGCTGAATAGGTAACAGGATAGAATGATATATAAGATTTATTTACAAGTACTAAGACTAAGATGACAAAAACATGTGGCTAAAAAATCCCAAAATTGTATACTATCACATTCTAGTGAGGTTAGACAGTTTTGACAGGCATCAAATACTAACTATATATCCAGAGATATTTGAATGCAAAGTTTTCTTTCGTGTTACAAATTCCAATTATGTGTCATTCATTCTCAATACACATAGGTGTTTGAAGATTTATGGAGCAAACTTGTATTTATTTAAATAAAATATACTAGAAAAAAAATTCTTTTAGGAATACCAGGCTAACTAAAACCCAAAAAAATCCCAAAAGGAAAAATCCCCACTTTCCCTCATTATCTAACTTCAGTTCTTCAATTATATTTATATAACACCTACTCATTATTTCTCTTATCTGTAATGTACTTTCTCATTCTACACAACATCCTTTCAGATTGGTCTTACAGTCATAGAAGGAACTACTGTCTGTGGGGGAAAGAAAAAGCATTCACTAGTTTCAGTGTAATTTGGGATACCTGTCCACATACTAAGATTATTACTGACTTAAAGCAATATCAGCTAAAGGTAGAAACTAAGAAAAACAATAGACCTGAAATTGTATTAAAAAAGTAAATGCTTCCAACTATACGTTTGACTTTTTGTAGCCAATAACCCTGCTTGGTCTTTCAGATTATCTCAAAAATATCTTAACTTATGTAAAAAGATTCTACTTATAGTGCAAAATCAATTTGATCTATCTACCCACAAAAACATTTTTTTACAAATATTAAACAAAGTGGCTCTTCCTTGCAATAAGGCCTGAAGATAGTTCTCAACTGGAGGCCCACTGATATAAAAAGGCACAATAGGATCTCACTGCAAAGTAAAAAAACCACTATGGGAAGCACTCAGTGTAGAGAATGATGAACGACAAAAAAAAGCAATTTCACGAGCTGTAAGAATAAAAATAATGTGAAATGCTTTAAGAATGTTTCTGGAGTTCTTAAAAGCCCATGTCAATCTTTCAAAAGACAGTATTTTAAAGTTGCACTGATAATCATAATACATGTATGAAAAATACCTCGTACTCATATTTCATGGATTCAAAACTGAGAAACAATATATACATTTGCGAACACCTATGCATATACTTTATTGATTACAAACTGATGAAAATGTGACCTGCTGTTGAAATTTGTGAAAACTGTTTTTATTTGCATGAAATGTAATAATCTCAGAGTTACCTCAGGGAATTCAGCGGACATGGAAGGATTATCAGGTTAGACTTTATTTATTTCATTCCCTCTTTTGGGAAAAAGGAACAGGATCACTTAAAAACTTCAAAGTTAAAAAGAATTTCCCATCTAGGAAAAATCAGTTCTTATGTGTCCAACTATTGTTCTGTGAACTGCTGTTTGTTGACATGGAGGCCTTCCCACAGAAGTTTTTAATGCAGTAAATGAAGTGATTCTCTTGTTTCCTGCTGATTTTGCAAATAGTTCTGGAAGGGTAAACACACCTCATTTCTGAATTATTAGACCAACACAACAAGTGCAAGGATTCTGGTATGTGACAGGATACAGCTGGTATGAGAATGTCAACCTGTAATAATGTCACAAGTATTGTATATGACCTTTATAGGTTTCTATATGCTCAATTTATGGATGTGTCAGGCTGACTAGACTTTCCCAAATTAAATGAAACCCATGGAATCAGGAAAGTAAGAAAATGAGCTTGTCATTGTGACCCAACAAAGATCATTGGGGTACAGCATGGAGCAGTGCTGCACAGAGACACAAGCCCATGCATCGAAAGCACTGGGGGGCTAGTTAGCACTGCCTCTGGGCAAACAGACTAGTGTGCCATTTCATAAGTTTGCTTACTCAGCACAAATACCTGGGAATATCTACAACTTCCTTCATATAGCAGCATGAATGCCCTGCAAAGATGTTTCCCCACAGACTCTTCTAAGTTATGACTCAGAAAAAGATGACTCAACCGTATGAAATCAAGATAATGCTTCCATCTAAAATAATCTGATTGGTTTTCTGAAGTTTGTAGACAAACCTACATTTTCTGGGGAGCACAGTCTTTGTTCTTAACGGGAAGGCACTTACTGGGATAAGACAATGATTCCCTTTAGATTATTTTTCCTTTCCATTCACCCAGAGAACCTGGAAACCAAAGAGACCAAATCAATACTCACTGACAGAGCAGTCACATGTTGACGCCGTCTGACTGTGCCAACTGCTCCCCTAGGGACTGGCTGCAGCTCTGCCATGCAGCACGTGCTGATGCTGCACCCCAGACAGTGGTCTTCTTATGGCATGAAAGTAATGGTGTGCTGCACTGGGAAGCAATGTAAGGAGAGACTGGGGGATTTAGGAATGCAAAGTTTACTGGTAACAGGGTGGGGCTCACTGGAAGGCAGAAGAAGCCAAATGGTACAGCTCCATCTGTATGGTCTCTTGATAATGGTATATAAAGCAAACTTCTCCCTGGGTCACACCCAGGTTTTCACTCGGAAAACAGTAGCTGGAGGGGTCCAAACAAATCTGGGAAGTGAGCCAACAATTAAGCAATACAGATGTCTAAAGGTTTCATGCATAAGCTTATTTCCTGGACCTTTCTTATTTAGCAGTGTAGAAGTACTCTGAGTGGGTAAAAGGATGAGAGGAACTGTACAGGAACTTCTGCATATAGAAATCAGAAATAGGAGCCTAAAAGAGCACCATGAGAGCATCTTAGGTAGTCCTGGCCTATTCTCACTGTCTGAGCTTTGGAGCAAGAAAGTTTGCTTGTGTTTTTTAATCCATATAACCCCTCAACCTCTGAAGCACACTAATATGACTTAATTTACATAGTTAGTGGATGTTACTGTTTCCAGAGTGAACCAAATGACATGGAATGAACT